TAATTGCCTACAAAGATATCAAAATTAAAGGTATCTACATTGAGAACCCTGACAACCACCTTCTATATAATAGAACAACCCATCTGTCTACCAATACGCAACAATACAAACTGCATATTCAACCTCATGCACTTAACAATAACAATTTTTACCTTATCTGAAACAATACACTAATCAAAAGCAAAACTCATCATTTCATTAGACACTTGCAAAATACAACAAATATAGCAAAATGGCATGCTCTCAACAAAACTAAATATTGAAATGATATTCATGAAGATACCAACTGGGACTCAATACACAAATTTCTTAACTATAACAACAAACCTAATACCTGCACTACTTATCTCAAACACTCATAATTAAAAAGTTTCAAAATTAAATTTCTACTAGATGAGCTACCAACTCTATTAAACATATACTACAAAAAACCTAAAATATATACCAATCCTACCTGCAATCATTGCTATATGCATATCAAAAACAACCTTTACTGGCTTGAATATACAGCAAATCCTATATCTTTAGATCAAGTAATCCAAAAACTACCTCTAAATTTCTTACTAAAAACAAAATAGAACTACAAAATATACTAACCTTATTACAACAACTCTTTCAAACATCAAACAATACACATAATCTTCTTAGATTGCAAGGATTAATTCCAAACAACCCACTTGCAACCAGCAATATTAATTCAAACATGCTTGTTATTCTATTTCATAAAATATCAAATAATATTTACAAACAAATATGAACAGAAAGATGCAAAGCTATGCATCAAAATGACCTACTAACAAATATACTCACAATTACAACTTCAGAACACCTAGCCACAGACCAAGTAGTTATAACAAAATATGAAAAATAGACAAATATTTTTTCTATTACTAACATATCTACATCTTACATTGCAACACTAAACTTAGAAGAGGTCTGACAGCCTACTTTAGTAGAGTTTTGAGTTGAGAATAAATTAGTTCTAGCTATAGGTTCATGTAATAATTTATGTAACTCATTTTTATTAATGTAATACCAAATTGTTCAATAAAGACTGAGGCCAGACCTCAATCTTAAAAAAAAAAATATATATATATTATATTTGACAAGTTCTTAACTATTAGTTGATAAAACTGGTTTGTTTATAGAGTTTGCTTATATTATATGATCAGATAGTAGAAACTGAATAAGATAATATTAAAAAATTTTATCAAGAAATATGTTTGCTATTATTTTATCAGATATTGAATAAATAAAGTATAAATATATATAAATAAGTTTAGTTTTGATTAACAAGGATAGTTTAGTAATAAAATAGTTACTAAGAAGTAGTTTAAATATGTAGTATTTTTTTAATTGCATTATAACTTCAGCTAATCATACTTTAGATATAGATGAATTAAAAGAAAAAAAATCACTAACTTTGTAGTTTAGTTCCTGATATATGGTAAACAATAGTTTTTTAAATGGTGAAAGCTAAAAATATAAGTTTGAAATTATAATAAAAGTATAATGGCTAGTAAATTTATATCTAAAATATGAGAAATATTGTAGTAATTATCTATTTGATATTATGAAATAGATTTGTAGTTCTGAAAATAATTCTTAATATCTTTTAAATAATGTAAAAAGTTTTACAAAATAGTTATTTGTTAATTTATCAAACTTAAAGATTTTTCTTAATTCATTAATGATAACTCTTGTATATAATTTTTATGTAATTGGAAGCATAAATAGTAAAATAACTTTGATATATTCTGGTATTTTACTAAATTGTATAGTAATAATATGAACTTATTTTAAAATGCATTAATAATTACAGTTTTAATTTTTCTGAGAATTTGTTTATTTTTATTTTGAATTTAAAAGAAGACACTTGCATAATAGATAGTTTTGTAGATTATAAAAAAAATATAAGAAGTAAAATTAATATTAAAAAGATATTAAAAAATAAGAATTTGCTTTAGTTAATAGTTTTTATATAGTTTCATTTATAATTGTGATTTGGTAGTCTATTTATATTTTGCTAAAGTATTATTTTATAGATTAGTATATTCTTTTTGATATACTAGAATAATATTTGGGTTTTGGTAAAGATGATAAAGAACTTAATATTAAGATATCTAAATTTAAGAAATATTACAAATGAAATTACAAATTTAATTGCCATAATGACTAAGAAAACAGGTGCTATTATAAGTCTGAAGCAAATTAAAAAAATTGTCTAATCATTTTTATGATTAGTTACATAGACAAAATTTAGCTAATATGTATTATATAATATGGCATGATCATATGGCAGACAGATGGATAAAATTCAGCTTAAACATCTAGTATATATCATGTGATAAGATATAATAAGACATGATCATATGGTTAGACAAACAGACAAAATTCAGCTCAGACATCTAGTATGTATTATGTAACATCATATAGTCATATAGGTAAACAGACAGACAAGATTCAGCTCAGATATTTAGTATGTGTTACATAACATTACATAATTATATGAGTGAACAGATAGACAAAATTTAGCTTAGACATCTAATATATATCATGTGACATCATGTGGTCATGTGGGTGAACAGATAAATAAAACTTGACTAAGTACCTAAAATATAAGTCCTTTACTATGCTCTAAACAATAAGTTTATAGTTAATAAAATCTTGAATTCTAGTTTGTATTTGGAATATTTTAGTAATTCTTTTATATAATCAAATTTGTTAATAAATAAAGTATTGATTTGGTCTATAATTCTGGTCTGTATAATATTTGTCTATTCTGAATTATTAATATCATTAAATCTAGATATATTAAGTCATTTTTGAGTAATTTGACTATATGTAGGTCTAGTATTATTAGGATTATTAGATATTATAATTATAGAGATTGGTAATGCTATAGCTATAATATTAAATAGTCTTAGTTGGAATATTGTTTGTATATTAAGTTATTAAAATTTAGATCATTTTTTATTTTAATGTTGACTAAATGTTGATTGAATTTTAAAATTTTTGATTATTAATCTAATAATTTTAGTAAGATTATATTATAAGACAGAAAGATATTTATTTCTTTTAGTATTAATGTCTTGTATTGTTTGAATAATGGTATGTAATATAATAAATAATGACTAAGTTTATATAAGGTTTGTTGTAAAGCTAATAATAAGGTCAAATGTTAGCTTATCATTTTGTAAACTATTACTTGTTTTTGATAATTTTTTATTTATTTTTAATTCTATAATCATGTTGTATAGTATGAATAGGAGATTTTTGTTAAATTTGAATGACTTAAATTCCTTTTATGTTTTTTTATATAATTGAATTGTTAGATTAAGATCACAATTATATTTATTTTTGAAATATTTGGAATTAATGTTTATAGAATTATTTTTTATTATTATAAGATCAAAAAATATCAATTGAGGAAATTCTTTGTATTTATATAACTATTAGATTGGAAATATAGTAAGATTAGATATATATCCAAATTTGGTCAGATCTATAGTAAAAAGATATTTGTCAATAAAGCTAGAAATAAGAAAGATAATATAAAAGTAAGTTTAGATAGATCTTTTATAGTAATATTAATAATTATTTTATATATTCAATAGGAAATTAGTAGTTAAGATTGTAAATATAGAATTACTTGAACTAATAGATTTTTTAGTGAAATAAACTAAGAAAGAATAAAAGAAAGTGTCTTAGAAGATTGTTTGATTCAAGTTTGTGTTAAATTAGTCTGTAGATTATTTGTAATTTTTTTACTATTTTTTAGAACTGACATCTAATATTTATATACTAGGTTAGTAAAGATATAAAGATTCTTAAATCACTTTTATTAAAATATAAATTGTTTGTTGCAGTACTGTTTCTAATATTAGTGTGATTCAGAACTACTGATAAAAGTTTATTTGAAGTTTGTATCTTTTTTTTATAAACAGAAGTTCATTTAATTGGTTAATAAATTCAATTTAATTTTACATTATTTATACAGTTTAAAGTACTTTTTAAAAATGAAAACCAACTATAATAAAGTAAAAAAAAAACAAATAGAAGGCTTCATTAAAGTTGTAAGACTCCATAGTCAAAAATAAGATCTAATTTTTGTCTATTTAAAAAAATTAACTTTGTAATAAGTTGATATTATCAAGTTTTGAGAAATTATTTCTATACTAACTTTTTTAAACAGATGAGAATTAGATCTTATTTTTGGCTATAGAGTTCTACAGCTCTAATTAAACCTTCTATATGTTTTTTTTTACTTTATTGTGATTAGTTTTTGTTTTTTAAAAAAGTACTTTAAACTGTATAAATAATGTAAAATTAAATTAAATTATTGGCCAATCAGACAAACTTCTGCCTATGAACCTCTTTTAGGTTAAGTTTAGTGTATAGAATAAGTTTAATTAATGATTTAAAATTGATTTATTTAATAGATCTTACTTTATTTTCAATATAAAATTTTTTATTTTTTTGTTCAGTTTTAGTAAAGTGATCTATGAAAAGAGTTCATCAGCAATCTAAGTATTCTTTAATTATTCCAAATAAGTAATAGAAAAAAATGTAATTACACTACTATATAAAACAAGTATATTATATTTATAAGTGCATTAAAAGAACAAACTACTATTGAACATATGAAATCCTAGTGTGTCTTTTAAATAAAAACACTTTTACGGGTTCTGATAGTGTAATTATATGAAATGCAACTGTATTGTGATTTATATAATGCTAGGAAATATAGATTGGCTATAAGAAATAAACATGAACATAAATTATACTTATCATTACCCCTCTCGATATAGAGAAGTTTTATATTTTTAAGTATCTTCACTATATCGAGAGACATTCAGTATAGTGAATCTCTTGATATTGTGAAGAAAAATTTACAGTCCAATGGTTTCATTATAACGAGAGTGACTTGTAATCGATATTATTTAATCATTACACTACAAGCTATATTTTTAATTATTGGACGAAACTGGGCTAGTAAGTCACTCGCATGCGCAATTTTTACTTGATAAAGTTATAGGGACAAAGTCAAATCTTTTAATAGGATAAAAGTCTATTTCAGCATCACAACCGTATTTAATATAATATCTTGAATTCAAAACTATAAAAATAATGATAAAAAGCCCTTCGGCTTATCGGTCAAGAAAGAATTGGACTTTAAATATAAATAAATTCTATCTTAAACATGTCTTGAAAATTTGTATTCTTAATTATCTTAACTCTCATAAGACAAGTTTTTATACAAACATAATTTAAAGATTATAATCAGAAAGATACAAACCTTGAGTAAACGTGTTCTGTCTACTTGAATTTGAAGCATCGCTTATCTTTATGTTAATCGGTTTGCTTGTATACATATGATTCGGATGAATCGATGATTCGATTTTTGGCATTATTTTATCGGCCTCTAAGAATTGTTTTTTGGTCTCGTTATTATCCTTTCGTTCCATTGCATCAAGCCAATAGATGATACTTGAGCTAATGATGATAGCAGTTGGCCGTTCATTTATATCAGAATCCATGCACCTTTTAGCCAAGTTTACATAGCATTCTGGAGTTCCTTCACCAAATTCTGGTCGTTCATTTTCATCACGAATCTTTGAAGAAAGTTCAATATTAAAAGGAACACCATCAAATGCCTTTTTTCCAGAAGATATTTCAGTCATAATAACACCGAAAGAATATATATCAGCCGCTTGGGTGAATTGTTGACCCCTTAAGACCTCAGGAGCTACGTATGGCATGACCCCATGAATTTTACCATCCTGTTTAATATTAGACGATGTTGAAAGACCCAAATCAGTGATGTACGCATTATGCAAAAGGTCTTGCAAAATATTTCCGGAGTGTAAATCTCTGTGGATTAATTCCTGGGAATGAATGGATTCAAGATCCGAAGCTACACAATGCAACAAATTTAACTTTTTTTTCCAATTCATTTTTACAATTTCAGAAAGGTTTTCGCGTAATGATCCTTTTGAAGCATATTTCAAAACTATAATATAATCTTTTGAAACTATATCCATTGATACTCCGTAGCATTTTAAAAATGATGGGTTTTCGTATCCAATATCACAATACTTTTTCAACTATTTAATATTGAATAATTAAATAACATTAAATTACTTAAAAATAAATGCAATTAAATAATTAATAATATAATATTACCTCGTCAACAAATTCTTGACTAGTTTTATTTGAATCATGAATTAATTTTAGTGCAACTTCCCTTTGTATGGATTCATTTTTATCAAGCCATCTTGCATAATATACAGTTGCAAAACCACCTTTTCCAATTTCTTTTATGTTTGTAAATTCGTTGTAAGGAATCCACATTAGGTGATAGTTTTCGTCATTTATCACTTCCTTTAATTTATCATGATCTAAGTCTTTGTGTAATACTTGTTTGTTTGTTTTCTTTGTGTTTGTTTTCTTTGCGTTTGTTTTCTTTGCGTTTCTTTCCTTTCGATACCAATGATTAGCTCGTTGTATGTCTCTTATTACTCCTATTCCATTTCTATAACACTCTCCAACCTTCATGATACTGCTAACGTTCCCCATATCTGCTGCTTTTTTATAATAAATAAACGCCTTATCATTATCTTTTTCAATACCAATTCCATGAAGATAACAATATCCAACATTGTTAGTTGCTGTTGCATCTCCCAGCTCAGCAGATTTTTGATAATAAATGAATGCCTTAAGTTCATCCTTTTCAACTCCAATTCCTTCATAATAACAATATCCAACATTGTTAATTGCAGTTGCATTTCCCATCTCTGCAGATTTTTGATAATAAATGAATGCCTTATGTTTATTTTTTTCAACACCAATGCCATTTTGATAACAATTTCCAAGATAGTTCATTCCATTAGCGTCACCCACCTCAGCAGATTTTTTATAGTAATCAAAAGCCTTATGCTCGTCCATCTCGACCCCAATACCATTTTGATAATTCAATCCAAGATTACGGAGTTCAGCTCCTGTTAGACTCATGTTTAATGATATATAGTAGTAACAATCGAAATTTTCATTGATATTTATAGCATACATTTATGAAGATTTTTTATAAAAATGGTCTAGCTTTATTTTTAATTCATCGTTATATAAAAAAATTTAGATGCCTTAACCTCAAATGTTTAAACGTACAATTCAAGTTGTTTATTTATTACTAATACAGAAGTACGGTATAACAGTTGATTTTATAATGATATTGGAATAAATTGTATATAATTCATGTAAACATTATCCAGTTCAAGAATCGTAAACTTCAAACGATAGTTTACTCACAACGCGAGCTTTAATTTATTCATTTATACATGCATACTACGATAGTGAGCGTAACTAGTTTGAGAGGGCAGCCATGTGTATAATCTCTAATTGAAAATCAAAAATTTAAATTTTAAAAAAAATTTCTTTTAAAATTTATGTTACAAAGCTTTATCTAGTGTCTGTAATAAAAACGATTAACTTACTAGTTGATTTATAGTTGATTAGTCGACTAACGATTTTAAGATTCTTATCATTAATAATAATCTAATAATAATTCTAAGATCTTCACCTAATTTATAACTCATTAAAACTCGAGTCTGATCTGATTAGTGTTCGATATGACTGAGCCTATCACGTAACATTGAATGTCCAGGATAAGCAATTTAATTATATAACCACAAGTTGGCCACTTATTGTAAAGACATATTGACATAATAATAGGACGTAATATTTCAGCATCAATAGGTCCACTAACTCATTGAATTAGAGACTGATGACTGGTCATAATTTTTAAAAATTGAATTGTAATTCAAAATTGACTAGAAAACTTTGTCATTTCAAATGATGTATATATAATTTTAATTATTTAAACAAAGTATATGTTCGTAACGTTATGACTACTTTATTTATTATTATAATTTCCAGATCTCCGATAACAATTATTTTGTATGAACTTGGTATACCCATAAAAGAAAGTACGAAACTGAGTTTAAACTTAAAATGCGATTTAACGTATTGATTATTAATTGATTTTAATCAACCTAACTTATTGTTCTAATTGCTGATGATATGTTATCGGGAAAAGCGAAAAATACCTAAGTATTACAAAAGTGAGAAAATCTGAAAACTTTTGGTCACCTTGATAAGTGTCTACAATGGAAAAGAATAAACCCAAAAAAGAAAATGGAAAAAGTTAGTACAAAAAATGAATACCAATTAGTTTGATAATGATATCGTCTAGATGATGTATGTACGAGTAATATTTAATAATATATTATACAGGCTAATACCTTTACTTCTAAGTTGTCTAAACTTTTCAGAAAATAAGAAATGGTTAATAAATTATCGATTCAAATTTTAAATCAATCAACAATTAGTTAATTAAAAAATTTTGAAAATGAAATTTTATTTGGAATGATATTATTTCATCTGCTCTACGTAGTCCATTGTTTATTGCTCTATTGCTTTTTTTTATATTATATAGTTATATTTAACATTTTTATATACTGTATATTTTTAATACGTAATTGCAAATTATTTATAACAAAGCCATTTTTTATATGTAAGAAAAATGCTTAATTGCACTAAATATTAATTTTATTTTTTATAAGCAAAAATGATGTGATAGTGACAAATAATTATAGCCATATGCGTTGATGATAGTCATGCTAGGGTTATTATAATGAGGATCACACAGTTTGATGACGCAGCCAGGGCGGCCCCTCTTAGTGCGGGTCACGGGTTATCGGCGCCACATTCATGCAATAATAACGTGACTTGTGATTATCAATTATATTACACTAACACTAAAAATTTTTTATGATAACGATATTGGTAACGCTAATGATAACCATTTACAGTATGTAGTAAATTTTAGAATGTGATTACAAATGATATTAGGTAAAGACAAATAAGAAAACTCAATAAGTATAATAAATGTACTTTGGGATGTCAACTAATTTTCTAAAACTTTACTAATAATTAACAGTATTTAAATCTTTTGTGTTAATTCTTCTATTATTGCTGGCTCTTCTGAGCATGATAGGTACAAAAGTACAGCTTCTACTTGTTGGAGCCTAAGTTAGTTATCAGTATCTTTTTCATTCTACCTTCTGGATCTTTTTTTCTGTTTGCAACAATTTACTTTCTTTTATTATAACATGGACTTAATGTCAGTTATTAGTTGATTTTTCAATTCAGATTTGCTTGAATGATTGCTTAAACAAAAATCAATTAAACTTGACATAAGTATAAACATTATTTTTTAAATTTTCATTAATATCTTTTAGAATTTAATTAGATACAGATAAATCAATTTCTGTAATTTTCTCATTTTTAAGACTTTTTAAAATGATAAATAATGAAATAGTACAATGTTTTAAATTACATCTAAATAGTTGTCATCATTTTTCATCAGGTGTATTTATAATCTTTTGAACTAGATGCTTACATATTAAAAAACAATTCCTGATAAAAGAAAAACAACTACAAATCTAAGATGAAAAATTGATGAAATATAAATTATTTGAGTTTTTTTTTTTTAATATAATTTCTTCTTCTTTTGATATTTTTATTATGCATCTTAGCTTTTTTTCTTTATTTCATCTGCCTAAATCTACTTCTTTTTGAAATCTTCTTATTAGTTTAATTTTATTGAACTAGCTAAAATCTGCAAAAGTTGATCTATCTGTATTAGAATCATTTCATTGAAAAGTATTCAAAATAATAATCTAATTTTAAACTATTAAAACAGTATAGATAACACTGTTTAATAACATTTTAATAGATTTTTATTTTTAATATTATTTTTTTTAAGGGTATAGTAGGTTTTGTTAATCATGTTTACAAATATCATCAATTAGGAGAATACTAATTTGTTCACAGATATTTCTATAATAAGCATAACTTATTATCAAATTAAATTTGATACATTTTTCTTACTACATTTCATCTAATTTTATTTTGATTCATAGTATTTTTCCAAACATTAACAGATTTTAAAAAACATATGTCAAAATGTTTTTGAATCAAATTCAAAAAATTTTTATGATATTCTATTGAATAAATAATGCAAATTTTAGAATTTTGTATATTTATTATAGAATAAAAATTAAAATTGATAAAGTTAAATTCTCTTGTTGCTTGATTAATATTATATTTTACAAATATTAATTCTTTACTTGATAGTTTAGATTTTTTATTTAATTTTAACTTTAGAACCTATTTTATATATCAAGCATAGAGTTAATTTACTAAAGACTTCATACTTTTGTTATAACATTTATTTTCACAAAATCTTTATTTACAAATACAAAATTAGGTTTAATATTATAATTTTTTAAGATTTTTAAAAATAGTTCTAAAATCTTACTATGCTTCTCTGTATTTGTACTTATATTGATTATTCTTATTATATCAAAAATTAGGTATATGATTGAAAATCCAGTACTTTTAATATCTATTACTACATTATAAAGTTTATATCACCTTTTTGGCATTCTATATATCACATCTAAATATAGTCTAAACAAACAAATATCTTTATTCTTTATTTTATTTAATAATAATATAAAATTATTAGATATAGATTCTAAATTATTTATATATTAATACTACTAAAGACTCTAATTTTTATATTCATCAAGCAATATAAGAGCAAATTTGACATAGTTATTATAATATTAAAATAGATTTTAATTTGACATAGTTTTTTAGTAATAAATATACTTGTAAAAATACTTTGAAATATCAAACACTTGGCATCACAAAAAAATAATTAATTGTACTGTAGTAAAATGTAATTGTATTGTAGTAAAATGCAAATATTCTTTAATTAATTTTTTTAGTTTTTTAGACATTTTAGCACAAAATTTAGAGCATGGTTAAAGAAATCCATAATGTAGATTTACTACTAAAACATCATGTTTCATATCTATTTATACTTAAATTTGTTCTTTACAATTATAATATATATATTACTTCTAATTAAGGTTTTTATATTTCTCATTTTCAGCTTTTTTAATTGGCAATATATATAAGTAAATATGCCAACTTTTATTACTAAATTTTTTTGTTTTATAGAAGCTATATTAAGCTTATTAGTTAAAAACTATAAAATATTAAAGTATATTTTATATAACTAAACCTCTCTAATGCAGCTTATAAGAATAAAACTTAATAATATTTAGAAAAAATAGTAAGAAAGAGTATTTATAGAGATTGAATATATATTTGAACTAGAACTTAGATATATATTTAGACAAATAATATATTGAAAAAGGTCTTTTGATATTAATATAATACTTACATTCAAGAATAATTGGTTTTATTTTTTATTTTACTAATAGCAAAATTAGCAATCTTTTTTATAATAAGTTTTTAAGTTTTTGTGTCTATATGCATCAAAAAAATATATATAATAACTTTTATTAGCAACTTCATCAGCATTCATATTTGTTATAAGCTCTTGAATCTTAGTCTTAACAAATTCATCCCTTTTAAAATAATTAATAATATATGCAGAATTATTAGATTGTATTGTCTCTTAATTAGCTAATATAGTAACATAAGTTGAATTTTTAATTTATGCTAAATAACTTTTATTTTTTTATAATTTATTTTATATATATTGTAAGTTAAATAAAAAACACTATTTCAAATAAACTGGTTTTCAAAGTAATTAGTTTTGCAGTGATTGCAGTTTTTATTTTTAATTATTAAATAAGAATTAAGTATTAATAATAAAAGATTTTGACTATTTTATTAAAGATATATTAAAATTTTAGTTTAATTCAATTTCAAATAATTATTTGATTCTTTTAATTCATAGATTATAACAAATATCTATTAGAAAATAATCAATACAAGTAAACATATTCAATATTGTTATAAAATTAGAAGTAGTTTTTTATGAATAAAACTAATTATATAAAAAAAGACCAGTCTTCTAATTTTACAACAAAATTAATTAGATTTATTGTTAAATTCAAATATAACTAATAATAAAAAAAGCTTAGACTTAGATACTTAGTAAACAGAATAATATTAGCATAGTTTATATTTATTATATTAATAATAAGGTTTTATTATATAGTAATTAATATACAATTTTTTAGATTATATTAAAACAATTCAAATATTCATTATAAAACTAAGATGCATTAGAATATAGTTTATTAGTTTACTTAGCTTAACTATTTAGTACTAATTATAATTATATACAAACTAGATTGCAACAAGTTAAAACCTCAATTTAGAGATTTTTGAAATAATAATTTGGTCAATAGGAATTATTTAAATAAGTATAGATTATGCTTTAAATTGATATATTAGTTATTAAAAAATAAATTTATTAATATTATTATTAATATATTATTTTAACAATAATAAAGATTTTGATGAAAAACAAGTCAATTTTAAAATATAATTGTATAATTAATTTTTTTTAAAATAAAATTAACAGTATTTTTGAATTATTGTACTATATCACTATTAATTTAAATTTTTAAGCTTTTTTACTTATAATAAAAAAAGAATTTGTTTTATTTAATTTTAATAAATAATCAATTTATATCAAAATAAAATATATTCAACTTCTAATAAATTATTGATTAGAGGTGTGGTGATCTAGTGAAATGGTCAAGTTGTCAACTTCCAAGTGGCAGGTCCAGAGTTCAAATTTCAGTGTCAACAGAAAATTTGAAAATCCTTCCTGTAATATGGTTAACTGTCTCTTGCAATTAGTTGGAATAAGATACTTGTAACCTGTGTTGCACTAGCATAACTGGCAGGTCATATGGCATTTGTGTAACAGTTATATGACATTGTCCTTTGGAACAAGGTCATGGTTACATGAAGGAATGCAAACCAGTACTGAGCAGTACAAACTTACAATAAGTCCTTATGGCTATGTAAATCATAAAAACCAATAAAAGAAAATGAAAGCCTACTTGAAAGACCCAAATAGAGAGGTAACCTAAACTTTTGACAGTGCTACTATAAAAACTAAACTTATGAAACAAAGCTAAAACTTGTAAAGCTAGACAAATATGCCAGTCTTTGAGAAAGACCAGATGAACCAACCAGGCCACTAGAATTTCTGAGTTCTGAAGAAAAAGTGTACATGCTAGCAAACATATAAACCAGAGGTACAGTCTCACCCTACCTTTTTAGACTATCTGGAATGGCAACTTGGTGGAACTTGAATTGAATACCAAAGTAATAAGAATATGTTGTGAAGTCAGTATCAAGGGTGGGATGAACTCTTCAAAAGCATAACAGTTTAATAGTATATTCTGACCATCAGTGTTGGTCTTAGCTATAGTGATATCAGGTCAGCTGTAAGAATGGGATACAGAAGATTTTGGAAGGTTTAGTACAAGGTCAAAGGTTCAAAGAACTGCTTTAAAGACTTAGTAACTATGGCATATTTTCATTGGCATCAGCTAGGGTCATTAGTAAACAGAAGTAGGTGGATAAATATGAAAACTAAGTGGTTAAATAAGGAACCTACAAGCAGGTTTCAGGTATGGCAGCTAGTATAGAACCTTTGGGTGAACTACTTAAATTAGACAATAACTAAAGTTGTATGAGTGGCTAGTTGTATACTCTTTTCATGATTGCTTCCTGTAATTGTAATACAACTATTAGCCAAATATACCATTAATAAAATTCCAAGTTACAAGTACTCATCTTAATATTTAAAAAAAAAATTTTGATTAGTATTTATTTTTTGAACTAATAATAATACATAAATTTAAATAAAATTAAGAGTATTATAATTTGTTTTATTTAATTAAATGACTAATTCTAATAATTAATTAATTTATATCAAAATAAAATATAATTATTTTTGATGAATTAGTTATTATTTTTATTTATTTTTTGAAATATTAATGCCACATAAGTTTTAGTAAAACAATAGTAATCTATAATTATAATTAAATATATAATTTTACTATAAGATTATAATCTCTTTATTTATTAACTATTTAAAAACCAATTGTAAATGAAAGATTGAAAAATATACTATTGTAATTTTTAATAAAGTAATACAAAAAAATCTAATATGCATTAATAACTTTTTAAAAAATTGAATATTGAAGGTATAAAGATACAATACTACTTTATACTATAATACAAATCTTTACAGATTATACTAAATATGCTTTTTGTTGAATATTTTATACTTTTAATATTTATATCAACAAAATACTATAAAATAAAAAGTATATTAATGTATTCAAAAAGTATATATAGATTCTTAAACAATTAAACAAAAAGATAAACATTATAAACATAATACTTTGTTTTCATATTAGAATTATAAAAATATTTAAATATTTTTTTTTAGAGTACTTAGTTTTTATATTAAAATTATAAGAAATTTGATGTTTTTTTTGAGAATACTTAGCTATTTTTAGCACATTAATTAAATATAACATAATATTTTTTTCTAAAAGTACTTAGCTATTTTTAGCATATTAGTTAGAGGACCCTTTTAGCAATTTAGGTTTTTTTTAGTATTATAAAATTACAATACAGTAATATAAATTCTAATTATACAAAATAATTCAAATTTTTTTACTAAATCATTACAATATTAAAGAGAAATATAGTATATACTAATAAAAAAGTTCTAAAGAGCTTAATAGAGCCAGATGCAGCATGAATCAAAATTTCTATTTTGATGGCAAAAATTTTTTTAATATTAACAGCTGCCTTATCTTTTTAGCAAATCAAAAACATTCAAAGATGCATAATTCAAAATATTTTTGATATTTTAATATAAAATCTCTGATTACTAATCTAGATCAATTTGTAATAAAATTTAAAAATTTTTTAATAATCAAAAAAAGTATTATTAATTTAATAATGACTTTTGTTTATTTAATAAAATCTTTAAAAAATGTATTTTTAAATTGTAATAATTATATAAAGCCAGTTACTTCTTTTTTATTATTTGTTATCTACAAATATTACTTTTAAAATCTCAAAATAAGCTATCTATTAATAGCTCAAATTACTATATCTGCATCTTATTTTGTTATTGATTTTTCTTCTAAGTTCTTTCATGAGAATGCTAATTGTTTTAAAAAAATTAAGAAGTTTCTTAGTAATTTTAAAAAATAATTAAAAACAAAAGTTTAAATCTGTTTAAAGCCTAATAATAATATTGAAACATTCAAGTTCTGTAAAATATACAAAAATATACAAATAGAAAACTTTTTACAAGCCTGTAAAAGATTCCTTTATTTAACTTTCAAACAACATCACATAGAGTCTTTGAATTACAATTTGTTGCAATAGATTATTATTAGCCAATTACTATATAAGTAGTTAAAGAAAATTTATTTAAAAAATTTATTTTCAACCTTGATCTTTCAAATATTAAAAACATTTTAATTTTATAAGAATAAAAATTAAAGAAACTTTAAAGACTAATAAAAATAAATTAGTACTTATTTTAAATCTTTGTATAATATATAAACAATTTTTTTTCAGTATTATAGTTCATTAAATTGATTCTGAATAGAAGATGAAAACTTTATCCTCAATTTATTTTTTTGCATAAGACCTATATTGAAAAATATTTTTGTAAGAAAATTTTTAATATTGGTAAAGAAATAAAGATAAAGAAATAATTAATTGAATTTACTAATTGCAATATAGAAAATCTAATGTGTCAATATTTTTTTCAAAGATCTGTAAATCCTAACTTTGATTATATATGTTATGCAACAAATGTTATTGATTTTATAGTTAAAGCAAGTTAAAAATATTATCTTAATTAAATTTAAAAAGTTTGAAATTTTTGTAGTAAAATAAATTCTCAATTAGTCTTGAAAGAGTTAAAAAGAATTTCTAACATTGTAGAGAATCATTTTATCTATCCTGTAGTTAATATTAAAACAATATAAACTTCTATTCACTTAATGCTTGAAAGCCTTAGTCAAATTTGATCCGTTACTAATAGTCTTATTTTACCTCATCTAAATTTAAAAAATGAATACCTAAAAGTTAAGAATTAGAAAATTATAGAGAAAATTATACAGTTTTTCAAACTATTTTATACAGTAATTTTATTCTTTTCAAATAATTTACACTCTTTCTATAGGTCCTTGTGATAGTTTGTTCAAGAACTTTCAATGCATCTTAATCAATATTTTTGCATTAATATATATTATAATGTAGCTACAGAAATGAAATATAAACTAAAAGAATATTAAGTTAATCTTTCTAAGTTATTTGCTATTACTACTCTTCTTGATCCAGCAATAAAATTTGAAACATTTTATATAACTGACCATAAAATAGCTATTAATAAGTTAAAAGATTTTTATTCTTTATATAAAACAAGTAAATTAAAAACAATTATTAGGCCTAAAGATCTATTAAAAGCATTTTATAAACTTAAACAATTAAGTAAAAATGAAAATAGTAAAATCAAGGCAGAGATAGATAAATTAGAAGTTTACCTTTCTTTATCTCATAAACAATATATAGATCTGTTATTATAGTAGAAAACAAATATCTACTATTTTTCAATAATAGCTTATATAGCAGCAGACTACTTTGTTTTACAAGTTATAAGCATAACTTGTAAGCATGTTTTTTCTGCTACAAATACTACTAATTTTACCAATAATCCTTCTGAAAAAATAATTAGTATTTTATTAGTTTTAAAAAGTTGGTTTAAAAAAGGAGTTATTAAATAAAAAAAATTTATTATTATTATTTATAAAGTTAAATTTTATTATTATTATTATTATTATCTTATATATATATATGTATATAGTAATAGATGAAATCTATATTATTTGCATTTAAATGTGGTACTAATAACCTGTGACCCACACTTAAAAAGGCCACTCTGGCTGTGTTTAGTTTGACTATTTATACCTGTTGTTAATATGCATATATATTAAAATTGCAGATCTGTAGTGTTTTCTTACTTTGCTTATTTATATATTTTTTTATTGCCTAATTATATTCTAATTTTTTTATGTTGCTATATAGCTTGTTCCTAATTAAAATAAAAAAAAAACTCGAAATTTTCAAAAAGTAACTTAGAATATATCTGTTATAATCTTTATATTTCTACTAAAAAAATAATACTAACTTTAGTACAGAAAATAAAAGGTTTTACAAATAATAAAACTTTTATAAAATCTAAACAAATATAAAATAATAATACTGCAATTTTTAATATAAATAAAAAAGATGACTCATTAAAGTTTGAAACTAAAAAAAAAATAATATACAAGAATTTGATTCACAAATACTAATACTAAAAAAACTTATACAAAAATTAAAATAAAAGTCTTATAATTAAAATTTATTATCAAAATTTTAAAGAACAAAGTTTTTGTTATTAAATAGTAAAAGAAATGTAAAAAATATCAAAATTATTAAAAAAACATTGCCACTAAGAAGTAATAATAATAATAAATATAAAAAAACTTTAGAATACAAATATTATTAAAATTTAAAAAATTAAAAAATATAATTCTAAGTTTTAATAATAAATTAAATATAATAGCAGTTTATATACAAAATATTTACCAAAAAATAAAAATAAATAAAGCATAATTAATATATAAGTTTAAGAAATTATTTGACTAACATAAATATGATATATTATAGTAATAAAAAAAAAACTTAATCTAGTTATTAAATTAAAAAACATTTATAATATTATAAATTATATTAATTATTTTAATATAACTCTTTTCAAAGATTATTTGAACCAAGTTGATACTGAAAGTAAATTGAAGACTCTGACTCCAAAGTGGATAATATTCTTAGTTTTACACTAAGTAAACTTGCTGTTGACAAAACTCAAATATATGAAACATCAAAAAGTAGGTAAAACTTGAGTGCTTTTTGTCTTAAATTAAGCTTCTTGTCTAGTAGACTCTTTTATATTCAATATTTAAACTGAAAGAATATTCTAGAAGCAAGAAGAAACAAAATCAGTTCTTTGGTTAAAAATATTAAAAACAGAAAAAAAAAAAAAACAATTAGAAAAGTTTTCTTACTTAAACTCTTACAATAATAATATACATTTTTTTATTTTTTTATATTTTATTTTTTTAAAAAGCAAAGGTTAGTTCAGCTTTGTCAAAATATCAACATTGTGTATTACTTTATTTTGAAATTACTTGATTGTTTGAATATAACAAATAAGAAACACAACAAACATGTAAACTATCTAATTATATAAAATAGATCAAAAAAAGATTTAAATTAAAAAGTCCAAAAATATATTAAAATATGCATATATTTTTATTTTATTTTTTTTTTTAAGGTGACCTTTTTGGTCTTTTGACTTTTATTAATAACTTATTAGTAATGTGATTCTATAAACTACTACAGAAGAGAGTATAATTGGCTACATATATAACTTTTCTATATTACCTATTTAAGAAGTCTGTCTAAAGATTCTTCTGCTTTAGTGTTTTGTATTTTACTTTAAACCCTCTAAACTTATAATCTGTGTTAACTTACTAGGTCATATTCAAATATTCAGATTATTATCTTAACCTTAAGACTAATTTATCCTTAAGTTAATCTTAATAACCTTTTGTATCTATTTTTACAGCTAACCTAAGTATTACTATGACAGAACTAATACTTGCAATCAGAGTTATATTATTTAACTGCTGTGTTCTAGTAGAGTTCACACAGACTCTAGCATTTACTTTATAGCATAACCCTAGTACTTTAGTATATCTTTGCCTTTTGTTCAGTCTTTTTATCAAACTTCAAATTCAGATAGTCTGTGCAGGACTATGATCAATTCATCAGTATATAAGATTAGCTTGATATTCTTTTTTTTTTGTTCATTTTGACAGCCTGGTTGGTGATATTTCTGAGACTTCTAAACCAAAGGTTCTTGTCCTTCAGGCTACTATAACTGGGTACTATGACCTTGATATCTGTTTTTTCAACTAGTTTTTATAGCAAAGCTATTGAAGTCTGACTATTTTCCTATTCAGGTTTTTTCAAATAAAATTCTTGTTACTCAATTTCAATGAATTTATATAGTTACAAAAATTTATTTAGTGTTTGCACTGCCTGATTTGTCAGTTTGCTTTTTTCTGTGTAACAAGTTACACAGTTGCTTATAACCTATTAGTCATGTTAATATGACTACTATTATAAGTATTCTAATCTAATCATTAGTAACAGTTGCTATAATACAAATATTATATAGATAATTATACAAATTTTTGCTGTTAACAGGATTTGAACACCTAACCTACTACTTGCAGAGATAATAATCTAACCACTTAACTAGGTTGCTACACTCC